GTTCAAATAGTCACAGCTGAATTCCTGCTAACCTAGTTCTCTTTCTTGTCAGCATTTCTACTTCTAGAAAATGCTGTAGCCAGGAGACCTACACAGCGTTTGAAGAAAAATATAAATAAATCTATACTGTTTATAGAAAGCTAAAAAAACCATAAATCCACAGAATGTAGACTATGTGAAAAATGTCAATGTCTACTCATAGTAATTCCCATAGCTAATACATAGAAAAAATGTTGTATTTGGCTTTCTGGTAAATATTTTCTGGACAGTTGGTGACCTTATATTTTGCCCAATTACTGAAAGCACATTTATCCCCTGAATATAGACTAACAAGTACGTTACAATGCACACAGTCTATATTTATACTTCTCACTACAACATAGTGTTTATAGTCACATAATGGGGGCATACAAACATAATTGTCTTCACACAATAATGCACACTATTGCTGGCACTTTGAATTGGCGCCCAAGGCAAAAAGAAATAAATAAATCTGATATTTAAAATGATATTTAGCATTCTGTCCCTGATAAGGCTCTCTGTTTTGATGGTTAATGATATGGGCTATAGAAATGTCAACATTTTTTCTAGCCAGCTTGTTACCTCAAAAATGCTTCTGTGGCAAATTTAGGCACATTCTTAGAGAAAAAGAATGCAATATGACTAACCAGCTAGCAGCATACAATTAACGTGATTCATCCCATTCAAACTGGAAAACCAGTGAGGGTTGTGTTTTTTTCCAGTAAGGGCTTTTTCTGGCTTTTACTGATGATACCTCCCTGTTTCAGCTAACTGTTTTTGGGTACTGTGCAACTAGGACAGATGCACTGCTCACAGACAGATGCAAAAAAAGCCCTGTAAAATTAAGAAAATTACTTCTTCTTTGATTTTGCTTGTTACCTTCAAGAAAATTAAAGAAATAGGATCTCTATCCAGTCCACATTTTCAAAAATACACACAAAAACACCCCAGAGTCCAGCCAGCCCTAGATGGACTAAGAAGACAAACTCAGATCTCCAAAATGCAAAATCATTCTTTATCATTAGCAGATGTACTCCTTCTGCAAGACAACCCTTCCCTTATTTCTTTTATATTATTTCTCTGCTTATTCTCTTCACGAACTGAAAGCTAGACTCTAGTGCAATTAACTTAGGTCAAAATCAGATACAATTTTTACAGGTATGTATTTAATTACATAAAAGAGATGGATATAAAATAAAGTAACTACTACATTTTGATGCCTGAGCTTAACTGTGGTTTGTTAGCATTAAAATCAGACAGAACATTTAAAATGCATGCCTATTCCTTAATTAATTTTAACTTCCCTTAGCACTTCAAATTTCTTATATATTTTAGTGTGCTGTGTTGTGTTGCACAATTCTGAACTCGTGCTATATTATTCTCACATAACTGAATTTATGAATTTATCACCATTTGGTCTAGTGTGTAATTTGAAAATGTACTTATTTAACCATATCATTACCCTTCCATATCATCCTCTTTCCTGAGGACTTCAGATGCTTAGACTGCATTGCAGAATATACCATAGAGCCAATGCCAAAATTCCATTTCAATTCCACAGCATTCCCAGAATTACCTTTTTGGCTACGTATGCCTCTAACACGAGGCCAATATCCCATTTGGCTGGTTTTATGTTTCCAAATCTGAATGACTGGGTGCCCATAAACAAAGGATGCTGAAAGGAGTCTTCCACATGAATAAGGAGCAAGGTTTAAATTTATAGCCCAAGATACACCACTAACTGAAATGACAGCATTCCCAGAATTACCTTTTTGGCTACGTATGCCTCTAACACGAGGCCAATATCCCATTTGGCTGGTTTTATGTTTCCAAATCTGAATGACTGGGTGCCCATAAACAAAGGATGCTGAAAGGGGTCCTCCAACATGAATAAGGAGCAAGGTTTAAACTTGTAGCCCAAGTTACACCACTAACTGAAATTGTACTATTTCACCTGTTCAAATCCACTTCCACAGAGGATTTCCTTCAACTCCCTCAATTATTGAAGTGAATAAAGTAACAAGCAAATTAGGTTTTCTGTATTCTCTCCTTCAGTTGATCACTCCTTTTAGAAAAGAAAGTAACTTTTTCCATTACCACACCCATTACATTTTTTGATGCCAGTGGCCATAGCTTCATTCAACCCTCGACTGCTGAAATTTAGTATCTACATAAAACACAACTCATACCATTTACATCCCATGGAAAAAAAACAGACACTTGCATAGGCTGATTTGGTTCCTCTCTCAGGCACCCACTCAACTCCTGAAAATGCCTGTTCCTCCCGAAAACAAGTGCAGTTACCTTAGGCAGACACATTAGATCAGCACTCAACTCCTGAAAATGCCTGTTCCTCCCGAACAGTGCAGTTCCTCCCGAAAACAAGTGCAGTTAACTTGGGCAGACACATTAGATCATCCCATGGAAAAAAAACAGACACTTGCATAGGCTGATTTGGTTCCTCTCTCAGGCACCCACTCAACTCCTGAAAATGCCTGTTCCTCCCGAAAACAAGTGCAGTTACCTTAGGCAGACACATTAGATCAGATTAATCATATTCCAGGTACAGTGATGAGCTTCTAGAAGCTGTCTGGCTAAAAAAGTGTGTCTCCTGACAATTTCACAGCTAACTTCAATAGCAAAACCAATTAAAAGTATCCTTTATTAGGTGAGAATGCACAGAAAAACACCCGTACACCACTGTTTCTTGGAAGAAAAAAAGGCAGGATATGAGATAGAGAAGTTCCTCTATTTTATCATAGAATTTTATTTTTGTAATAAAAATACTAATCACGCTGCAGACTAGAAATAAGTTTAACTGAAATGACATTACCTTAAATTTAAGCAACTATTTCACATAGCATGGAAATTAAGGATCTATTTGGAAAAGTATAAATTATATCCAGATTAAAACCAGGATATATCCCAAAAATAGTTTCAAAACTTGTGAGAAGGTCCGTAACTCAGTTTCATATACTTCAGTTACACAAACAACAAGAGCAAATAATCGGGCTTCCCAAAACTGATGGTTTACATATTCCCATCTCTAATCTTTACCCATAATATAACTGTGAGTATTTAAATTGCAGCCAAAAGTTTGGTCTTCAGCTGCAATTAGCTACGTTGAAACCAAGTTGATGCAGTTTACTCATTCAACCCTGTTACACTGAGAATGAGAGTAATGAAAGTACAGACAAAATGCAGTGAAACACCATGTGTTCTGTACAAACTTCACGCACAACATCTCACAGGGCTGAATCACCAAATTAAATTTTAAATGAGTGTGAACCACCACACTCTGGTGGGATTTTACCAGTCTAAGGTCAGTTGCTATTGCTTGTACCATCATTCTATCCAGGCCGAAATTCTCCATTTTACAAAAGCCTGAATCCACATCATATGTCACAATTTTCAAGAAGATAGTGGCAGAAGTGTAATTACCCACCTGTCCTTGATTGAATGAATGACAGTTTTTAACCGTAATTTTTTAACAGTGGATGTCCAATTACACGAGTTAAAAAAACCTCCAAGAATTAATTTTCCTGGAGAGATCAGGCTGGCTGAAAGCAAACAAGCTTTTTGCCTTCTTCATAGGCATGAGAAGCGAGCCAGTAATTTGTGGATCAAGTTCATTAGGTCTCGTTTGCTTATACAAGAGGAAGTTAGATCACAAAAATAGTTTCCAAGGAAGCTTCTGTAACTTCCATTTCTTTACTGAAAATATCAACCACAGATTCCTAGTAAGTGATTTCATCAATTGGGAAAGGTAAAAAGAAAACAGAATCAACACCACGGTTTTTTGGGGGAAAATGTGAGTGTTGCCTTAAAAGAGGAAAGTAACAATAGGAAAGAAACCATCTCTTTATCACTGTAAATAAATAACACATTTCTGTTCTTAATTACAAGTGCTCCCACTGATTCAACATCCTCCAAAAAAGCCCAGTCAGTTTCTTAAGTAACTTCAATTCTTGTTGTGTGGGACATGTAGACATGTAAATCTTAGCATCATCATCACCTCCTCCCCACTTACATTTACTATCAGGCACCAACAAAAAAAAGTTTCTATCAAAAATAAAACAACAACAAACCCTGGGATTGGCCCCAAATGAGTAAAGCAATGAGAAGAACTGCAGTAAGGGCAAGGGCTGTCTGCTTATTTTGCGACGTGTAGACTCAGGAAGAGCATCTCAGCTCCTAAACTTGCTCTCCATTCACTCCCCTATCTACTACAAAAGCCACCTTGGCCAGTGAAGAGCTTTGACAGGGCTTTATGCAAACAGAGTAAAATAAATTACTCATTGTCTAATGAGTATAGGAAGCAGAAAGACTTTTCACCCAGATTTAGTTTAAAAAACACTGTAGAGAGATGTTCCAAGATTATGCTCCCTATTCCATTTCCATTCTAGAAATGATGGACACATCGAAAAAGCCAATGCTGGACTGATCAGTATTGAAGAATATACATTTTCTGTATGACACATTGATTCTCTTTTCATAGTTTCATATTCTTTTGGTGAATCTTTGCAGTTAGGCATTCCCATAGCAACAATCATGACCAGCTTTGCAAGAGGACATTCCCCATCCCATAAGCCAAATATCAGCATAAAGCTGAAAAACATCTACAGTTTCAGGATGAAAAAAGATCAACTATTAGTCACATACAACAGAGGAGAATCTGGGGGCAGAAACCAGTATAATGACTAACTCCTACAGCACAGGGCTGAGTGATTCCTTCTCTTCTTTCTGCACAGTGGACATACACAGAAGCTTTAGCTTTCTGTTCTAAGGCTGAATACATCATTATCAGATACACAGTATTTTAGTGCTAAGGCTGAATACATCATTATCAGATACACAATATTTTGTGTATCTGATAATGCAAGTATACAATTTAGTCAAGATTCAGGCTACTAAGTTTATGAAGACTATTTCTGTAAGGAAATAAAAGCAGCATAACATTTGAATACAGAAGTACTTACCTCGAATTTGTCTTTTAATTTCCTTTGAAGAATCTAGCCAGTTCTGAAAAAAGAAAAACCAAAACCAGCATTTAAAATCACTGCAGACTGAAGATTGGTGAAGTAATTTCATAGAGTGCAGTTACAGTTTGTATTGTTCAGACATCTGCTCTATTTTAAAATAATTCCGAGGACAGTAAGATTAAACTTTTTTCCTAATATCTAATCCAGATCTCCTCTCTTTTAGTTTAAAATGATTACCCCTCATCCTACTGCTACACTTCCTGACAAAAAAGTCCCTCTCCAGCTCTCCCATAGACTCCCTTCAGATACTGGAAGGCTGCTATAAGGTCCACCAGCATGCCAGCAGGACTTTCAAAAACAGACCTGTGCAAAGTAGGGAAAAATTAGCAACTGAGTTAGAATGATAGAACTTCCTGGGTTGGAAGGGGCCTTTCAGATCCCATCACTAACCCATGTCCCTCAGTACCATGTCTGCTCAGCTTTTAAATCCTTCCAGGGATGGTGACTCCACCACTGCCCTGGGCACTTCCCTGACTTGTAAGGTCAAGGCCAACATTTCCCCAAACCACTGCACATATTTGCAGCTTTTAAGTCACAGGGGACCTCTGTGCCAGCACAAATTCTGCTACAGGCATATCTCTACCAATGTTTGTTGCCTAATTTAGCCAAATAGTGGATAACGGTGACTCTATGGTACCAAACTCCAGATGCAACAACTGTTTTCCAATACCATATCCCTTGGACTTTGTGACAGGCTTTTCTATCCAAAGTCAAATTTATTTCCAGGAGACAAAACATGCCAGGCTACAGTTTTATGGGTCTGTATGGATCAGGAGGATGTGGAACTATATGTTTTCGCACTACTGGAAATCCTTAATGTAGATCACCTCTGTTGCTAAAGGATGAGGCTTCTATGAGTACGACCCAAACTACTAAATTCCCTATTATAAATGACCTTGATCAAAGTCGATTTCATCACAAATGCAGCACGTATATATTAGACAAATACTGATTAGAAAATAAATGCAAAACCCCTTTCTTATTATTTTTATAGATGTAATTTTAAAAAAAAAGAGAATAATTTCACATTTCTCGCTTTAAGAAGTCTGCTCATGGCTACTATAATTGCTGCAAAGGAAGAGTTTGAGGAATGCAAACATTCCTCAAAAAAATCTGGATACCATTTATTCTGCTTGAGTCAGAAAAATTGCTTTCTAGTGGAAGAGCCTTGACATGAAAAGGCCTTGGAGGACAACGGTAGACTTCAAATAGTTTTAACTGAGACTCACTTCAGCTACAATCATCATCCTAGGCTTTCAGTTTGGGCATGAATTCCATTCCAAAATCATACACAGCCATTTCTTCCAATTACAGAGATAACTACAAGTAGCTTAAACATTTAAATACTAGATGAAGTATAGTATAGACTATAGCATGGTGTAATGACAGCAGAAAACTAGGAATCATGACTATATGTTACTCTCAGTGCTTTTTCTTTAATCATTATGAAGTAAGAGAAAAGAACACACAATACAGAATAAGCTGCAAGATGAGGAGAATAATCCTTTCTTTACAGAAGTTACACGGTTCATTTTCTGATTTTCCAAACCTGGAGTAAGTGTATTGGGAGCAGACTTTGCCACTAACTTTCTTTCACTAGTGCTCTGTCATATAAAATCAAATGCTTATATTCCATTTATGTGTACAATTACAGGGGTTTTGTTGCATCTGTGACTTTTGTTATGGATAAGACAAACACTATTGAAAGAATCTACCCTGAAATAGACCTCTTAATGCAGAACAGACAGGTCTGTCTTTCGAAACAAAAGACAAAGTGTATACACGCTACTTTGCCCCAGGAGGCAGAAATCTATTGGTTTAATTTGTGAATGGTAAGGTTATAGATGAGACAAAGTAAGGAATTGTCTAAGAGCAACAAAGTGTTCTCTACCAGTACAGAAGGATTTTGTACAAATCCAGAAAAGCAGCATTTCCAGCTGGTGCCCAGAACATAAGTGTTAGAAAGCTCCTGCTCTTCTGCAGGCCAATTACAGTGTCAATGAGGCCTTCATGAATTTTTGAGGGTGTAATGCAATGGAATAACTAACTAAACTTCAGACCAAACTGCAAAACAACAAAAGAAATCATTAATGAGTAATTTGACCTAAATAGTTTTAAAATGTGTATTATAGCTAACAAAAATGGGTCTGATTGGAAGACATAGCTTCTCTCCCAGCTGCACAGAACAGCCATAGAGGGAAGTTAATGGGACTCCTCCTCTGATGGTACCCCAACGGGGCATTAGGGAGCAGCGCTAATTGAGAAGGGCCTGGCATTCAGCTCCCACACCCCACAGCTGCCGTCCAGTTCAACAGCTGGCTCATAAATGGGTGGCTGTGATTACTGTGCAAGAATGAGAAAAACACATCATTCTGTACTTAGTAGCGACCGGCCTGGAGGTCAGAGGTTTCTGGTGTCTTAATCTGAAGAGGTAACAGTCATAACAGGAGAAAAAATGCATCAGAAAAAAGTGGTACTGAGATGAAAAAAGAATTCAAACTTACTACAGAGGGCAACAAAAGAGAAGGCCCTAAACTCAGTAAAAGTTCCAAGTCCCCAACCTTTTTTTGCAGCTATTGCTGAAGAAAACTGATCAGCCCCCTACGCTTCCATCTATTAATTAAATCAAAAAATAAGATGCTAATTTTTCATTTTTTTTTTTAAAGAATGAAAAAAAAAATTGAGACACTTAAAAATCCTAAGACAGAAGCATTCATTAAAACCGTACCACAAATATTTACAATACTGGAAACAATTTAAATGATCTTCATCCATGTACTATAAAAAAACCCTTTGATAACAAAAATGAGTGCTCCAGTCTTACAGAACACATCCTGTGTAGCTATACAATTTCAAGCTTACAGCAAATATAAAATATTCAAGTAAAAATACATCGAGCCCCTTTTACATATGGAGATCTTTAATACAGAGGGATTGAGTATTTTGCTCAATGCTGCATAGAAAGCCTCGCGGCAAAGCAAATAAGTCTAGGAAACAACTGTATTTGAATGGAAGTTGTGAGAAACTCAGATTTATTCAGACCATTAAATTAGAGTTCATTTCAAACACAACAGTGAGATGAGAAAGATGACAGAAACAAAGCTTCTAGACTAAGTATAGTGTTTATGTAATGATGTTTCCTGCTACAAATACAGAGATTATAAGACATTTTTTCCACTTCAATTTGTAATTGCAAATACAGGCATAAATACAGGTTGGGCGGAGAATGGCTGAAGAGCAGCCCTAAGAAGGACTTGGGAGTGGTCGTGGATGAGAAGTTCAACATGAGCCAGAAATATGCACTGGCAGCCCAGAAAGCCAACCCCATCCTGGGCTGTGTGAAAAGAAGCGTGGCCAGCAGGGTGAGGGAGCAGAGACGATTCTACCTCTCTCTTCTGGTGAGACCCCACCTGGAGCACTGTGTCCAGCTCTGGAGTCCTCAACACAGGAAGGATATGGACCTGTTGGAATGGGTCCAGAGGAGGGCCACTAAAATGATCAGAGGGCTGGAGCACCTCTGCTATGAAGTCAGGTTGAGAGAGCTGGGGTTGTTCAGCCTGGAGAAGAAAAGGTCTGGGAAGACCTTATAACAGCCTTCCAGTACCTGAAGGGGGCTACAGGAGAGATGAGGAAGGACTCTTCATCAAGGAGTGGAGCCATAGGACAAGGGATAATGGTTTTAAATTGAAAGAGGGGAGATTTAGATCAAATATTAGGAAGAAATTCTATCCTGTGAAGGTGGTAAAACACTGGCCCAGGTTGCCCAGAGAAGCTGTGGCTGCCCCATCCCTGGAGGGGTTCAAGGCCAGGCTGGATGGGGCTTGGAGCAACCTGGGCTGGTGGGAGGTGTCCCTGCCCAGGGCAGGGGGCTGGAACTGGATGATCTTTAAGGTCCCTTCCAACTCTAACCATTCTGTGATTCTATGATTCTAATGATTAATCTGTTTTCTTTATGAGGGAAAAGATGACCGCAGTTGTATCTTGAGTTCATGGACAAAGCAACAGCTGGTCCATAACTAACTGAGATGTTCAGATGTTGGAAAAAGCTAAATTGACTTTTGCTAATTAGCAGAATCCATGCTACCAACTGATTTAAGATTCTTTTCTCAGCTCAGCTATCAACCATCCAACATGTAAGCAAGTGCAAAAGAAGAATGAAAATAAGTGACCAAAAAGTACTTAAGAGATCCTATCTGAATATAGTCATATCAGAACATCTCTTCATTTATAAAACTAGCATCCACTAGTGATGGGGTAGCTTCAGTCTCACCTTTATAAATGCCAAAAATTTGTATAATCTTGAAGTTAATCAAAAAGGAACTTAAAGGCCTAATAGTTACAGATTTAGAAGCAAGATCTCCTTCATGCTCCTATTCAAAGCCGTATTAAACATAACTGAGAAAAGACAGCAAGTTATTGGAAAGTCAGTCAGAAGATTATTTTTTTAATTATTTATAATCCAAAGTTTGTTTCCCTGTGTTTTTTTTTTTAAATGTAAATAATTAAAGTGTTTAGAAATTTGAGGATATTAGTTAAAATGTCCTATCTTCACTTGCAGGGATTGCATACTGTTTTACTATACTATTTTACTGCTGTACTGCTTAGCCTAGCAATTGCTTGATTAGTTTTCTCAAAATGCAGATATGTTAAATATTCCCCCACTCTAAAGAATAAATGAGCACTTTGTTTAGATACCAGCATACACATCAGTATCTTGCACACATTGCAAGTTTACAGCAGACCAGAACTGACATTTTGCAACAGTTTACTCAAATGTTTGTACACATTTAATACAATATACCTCACTAAAACATAGTCAGTAGCAATGTAGAAAAACAAACAAACAAAACCCTCATAAAGGCTTACCTTCTGTTCTGAATTCTCATAAAACACCAGTCCAAAATAGTCCTTTTCCAGTAAATTGAGATGTTCACACACTTTGTCAAACAGCACTTGGCCTTTTGCTCTTTTCTGAAAGAAAAAGAAGAACAAGTACTATCAGCAAATGAGTAAAATCCTTACTTACAGGTACTGTAAATCAGTGGTATTAGGAAAATTTAAGGTGTCAATAAAACAGATTATAGTACTTTAGCTTTCTTACGATACACTGTTCACCACATTTTGAAAGCCATATGTATCACCAACAAAAATAAAGACATTTCAATTTTTTTCAGTTCATTAAAAAAATTGACTTGGATGCACAAGGAAAACTAAGCACCTAAATCTATTTAAATGTTTTGCACCATTATGTGTCACTAAGTAGTTCTTAAATTAGTTTTTCTGCATCTCTATTTTTAAAATAACCAAAGACTCCTTCAATTGAGCCAACTTGAACGACCAGACTGTTAGAAGTAGCGCAGAAATGTAAGGAGAGAATAAGCAACACGTTGAACTCTCATAGATTTTTCTGCATCTCTATTTTTAAAATAACCAAAGACTCCTTCATTTGAGCCAACTTGAATGACCAGACCATTAGAAGTAGCACAGAAATGTAGGAAGAGAATAAGCAACATGTCAAACTCTCATAGAATCACAGAATGCTATGGGGTTGGAAGGGACCTCTGGAGATCATCCAGTCCAAGCCCCTGCCAGAGCAGGTCCACCCAGAGCAGGTTCCACAGGAACATGTCCAGGTGGGTTTGGAATGTCTCCAGAGATAGAGACTCCACCACCTCTCTGGGCAGCCTCTGCCAGGGCTCTGCCACCCTCACAGGAAAGGGTGTTTAGATGGAACCTCCTCATGTTTAGATGGAACTTCCCATGTTCATGTCTGTGCCCATTTCCTCTTGAATATATTTTTCTCTCTATACTGCAGAGGTTTTGAGGGGCAGAAAATAAGATAAGAGGGCTGCCTTCTATCTGTAGATTTATTAACACTCTCAGTATCAATGAAATCCATTGGATACTCAAAAATAAAAAGCAGTCTTAAAGTGTATTCTTCCTCAAAATAGTATTTGTGGAAGTCAGTAATCAAAAAAGAAAAAAATCACATTTTTACTCGTAGTTAGTTTCAATATTGTAGCCTGCTACTTTAAAGTAGTAATTGAAGACTGATCATCATTTTAAAACACTCTTAAAAAGGCTGCTTCCTGCAGTTCAGCATTACAACAGCTCAAGCAAATAAAAATTAGTCCTGAATTTTGTATGGTTGTTCTTGTACCTGTAATTGGGAAGGTAAATGAGGGCACCCCATATCTCCCTGGTGCTGGTAATGAAAAGGAGACCTGGGCCTTACTTCTGTGTAAAAGCTAAATTGACTTTTGCTAATTAGCAGAATCCATGCTACCAACTGATTTAAGATTCTTTTCTCAGCTCAGCTATCAACCATCCAACATGTAAGCAAGTGCAAAAGAAGAATGAAAATAAGTGACCAAAAAGTACTTAAGAGATCCTATCTGAATATAGTCATATCAGAACATCTCTTCATTTATAAAACTAGCATCCACTAGTGATGGGGTAGCTTCAGTCTCACCTTTATAAATGCCAAAAATTTGTATAATCTTGAAGTTAATCAAAAAGGAACTTAAAGGCCTAATAGTTACAGATTTAGAAGCAAGATCTCCTTCATGCTCCTATTCAAAGCCGTATTAAACATAACTGAGAAAAGACAGCAAGTTATTGGAAAGTCAGTCAGAAGATTATTTTTTTAATTATTTATAATCCAAAGTTTGTTTCCCTGTGTTTTTTTTTTAAATGTAAATAATTAAAGTGTTTAGAAATTTGAGGATATTAGTTAAAATGTCCTATCTTCACTTGCAGGGATTGCATACTGTTTTACTATACTATTTTACTGCTGTACTGCTTAGCCTAGCAATTGCTTGATTAGTTTTCTCAAAATGCAGATATGTTAAATATTCCCCCACTCTAAAGAATAAATGAGCACTTTGTTTAGATACCAGCATACACATCAGTATCTTGCACACATTGCAAGTTTACAGCAGACCAGAACTGACATTTTGCAACAGTTTACTCAAATGTTTGTACACATTTAATACAATATACCTCACTAAAACATAGTCAGTAGCAATGTAGAAAAACAAACAAACAAAACCCTCATAAAGGCTTACCTTCTGTTCTGAATTCTCATAAAACACCAGCCCAAAATAGTCCTTTTCCAGTAAATTGAGATGTTCACACACTTTGTCAAACAGCACTTGGCCTTTTGCTCTTTTCTGAAAGAAAAAGAAGAACAAGTACTATCAGCAAATGAGTAAAATCCTTACTTACAGGTACTGTAAATCAGTGGTATTAGGAAAATTTAAGGTGTCAATAAAACAGATTATAGTACTTTAGCTTTCTTACGATACACTGTTCACCACATTTTGAAAGCCATATGTATCACCAACAAAAATAAAGACATTTCAATTTTTTTCAGTTCATTAAAAAAATTGACTTGGATGCACAAGGAAAACTAAGCACCTAAATCTATTTAAATGTTTTGCACCATTATGTGTCACTAAATAGTTCTTAAATTAGTTTTTCTGCATCTCTATTTTTAAAATAACCAAAGACTCCTTCAATTGAGCCAACTTGAACGACCAGACTGTTAGAAGTAGCGCAGAAATGTAAGGAGAGAATAAGCAACACGTTGAACTCTCATAGAGTAACAGAATCACAGAATGCTATGGGGTTGGAAGGGACCTCTGGAGATCATCCAGTCCAAGCCCCTGCCAGAGCAGGTCCACCCAGAGCAGGTTCCACAGGAACATGTCCAGGTGGGTTTGGAATGTCTCCAGAGATAGAGACTCCACCACCTCTCTGGGCAGCCTCTGCCAGGGCTCTGCCACCCTCACAGGAAAGGGTGTTTAGATGGAACCTCCTCATGTTTAGATGGAACTTCCCATGTTCATGTCTGTGCCCATTTCCTCTTGAATATATTTTTCTCTCTATACTGCAGAGGTTTTGAGGGGCAGAAAATAAGATAAGAGGGCTGCCTTCTATCTGTAGATTTATTAACACTCTCAGTATCAATGAAATCCATTGGATACTCAAAAATAAAAAGCAGTCTTAAAGTGTATTCTTCCTCAAAATAGTATTTGTGGAAGTCAGTAATCAAAAAAGAAAAAAATCACATTTTTACTCGTAGTTAGTTTCAATATTGTAGCCTGCTACTTTAAAGTAGTAATTGAAGACTGATCATCATTTTAAAACACTCTTAAAAAGGCTGCTTCCTGCAGTTCAGCATTACAACAGCTCAAGCAAATAAAAATTAGTCCTGAATTTTGTATGGTTGTTCTTGTACCTGTAATTGGGAAGGTAAATGAGGGCACCCCATAGCTCCCTGGGCCTTACTTCTGTGCGCCAGGTTTTAGGGAAAAGATTTGTTGTAGTGAAGATGGCAGTGGACAGGAGATAAAGTTTCAGAGCAGATGGCTCACAACACTCAGGGCTGGGGAAGACTGTGGAATTTCTTTCCACAGCTAAAAGTCGAAGATGAATGGCACGCAGCCTCCCGGCTTCAACCAGCTCCTTCACGGCTGCTCTGCTATTTGTGGCATTTATCAATGAGGCCACAACGTGGCATTTTCAGAGGCCTGGCAGCTGAAAGGAATTTTTGCAGTTGCTTATCCTAGGGATTTCAGTAGATGCCATGCACCGCTGCGATTCCACAGAAACGCCATCGACGGGGCCTGCGTGGGCCCGGGCGACACTGCAGCCATTGTCCCCGGCGGCAGAGGCCTCGCCATGGGCCCCAGCGCGGCTCCACCGCGCACAGCGGCGGGGAGAAAGGAAGGTACGGCGCTGAGCAAATAGCGAGGGCTTTGTTGTTCTGCTCCCCGAGAATCCAAAAGCTTTATTTATTCGAGATCGCATCGTCCAGCGGTCCCACAGATCAGAAAGTTTTTCAAGGAAACACTTATAAAATGAGCATAGTTCTTAGCCCGAGCATCGCAGTGAGGAGATGGAACTTGAGTCACTTCCAAAATAGGGAGTTGTTTGGAACTTTTAGAGATCTTTCTCTTCAGAAAGATAGATGACTTATTTGCCCCAGCAGTTTGAAGTAACCACTTAGTTTTCTTACAGCCTCACCTTCAGGTTAACAAAAAAAAAATCAACAATATAGAGAAGAGCTAAATCAAAAACAGGAAAAGTATAAGCAAGAGAGAGATTGAAGAATCTCAGCCTGCTTAGATGTGTGTAATAAATATAATTTTTCTCCTTAAGTCATTGTGCACTTCAATGATCACACCTTATAAACGCAAGTTCCAGGTCTTGCCTATTTCAGTAAAGGAAATATACAGATTAGTGCAGAAATAATATATGCTGTCATTAATCACAGAATCTTCATGGTTGGAAAGGACCTTTGAGATCATCAAGTCCAACCCCCTGCCAGAGCAGGGTCACCCAGAGCAGGTTGCACAGGAACGTGTCTAGCCACATTTGAATGTCTCCAGAGATGGAGACTCCACAAACAGATACAACCCAACAATCTCGGGCACTAGAGCATGCCCTGAAGTGCCACGTCTACACGTTTCTTAAATACCTCCAGGGATGGTGACTCCACCACCTCCCTGGGCAGGCTGTTCCAGTGCCTGACCACTCTCTCAGTAAAGTCATTCTTCTTAAGATCTAATCTAACCCCCCCCTGCCGCAACTTCAGACCAGTTTCTCTGGTCTTGTCATTATTCTCTTGGGAAATGAAGTCCCTATCAGGAGTCACATGCCAATTAGGTAGCTTTTTCTAAAGTTCGTAAACTAAAAAACACAGTTAATATCAAGTAACATACAGAATAGGTTACAGTATCATGTAACATACAGAAGCACAAAACAACCAAGTTTACAGTAAATGTATTAGTATAACAGTAAAATATTGCCCAGTCTCTTTTAAGGAAGTCACAATCAACACAGAATTTGAATACCCTGGCATGTCCACTGTATCTTTAAAAATCTTTTTGTAAGTTTACGGCTCTTGCACATAAGGAAAAACACCACTGTGCCCTGAAGACCAAGTTATGTTAGTCTACATTCTAGGCAGCAGCACAATACCAAGAAGTTACAGCATCAGAAAGTGACATTTATAGAGCTCTGTTGTGAATTCAAAAGCATAAGAAGCCTCTCAGTATCGGCAACGATTCTCATTATAAAATCCTATTTGCAAAATTAAAAGACCCCTAGTTCTTTAATATTTTGGTTTATATTGTGAAATAGTTTTTAAAAAATCTATAAAAGTATTTAATTTGCAAACCCAAACTTTTCAAGTGCAATTCTTTTGTAATCCCTTTGGGGACAGGCATTACTACACAGCTTAAATTATACGATAATGTAATTTTTTCTGGAAAACGCCATGCTCCTAGAAGAGCCTCTCTAAACAAGAACTGAAGAGCTTCTCCATAGAGAAGACAACTGCTGTGATTCAGTCATATCAGAAGTTAGAAACTGTTTAACAGGGGACTCTAAGAAGACAGCATCATGGTTTGCACAGTTTCATGTTACTCTTTAAACTGAATTCTATTTCTTTTCCTACCAGTTAGTTGAGGTGTCAAGCGATAGTGACAAGCAACATGTAAAATGATAATTGCTAACCTTATATATACATGTATAGATATGCATTTATGTATAGGTATATACATGTGTGTACACAGCAAGCATTGGCACAGAAAACAAGGAAATCTCCTTATTCTGGATTCTAACACTGAAATGCCAGTAAAAGCCTAAGTTCATACTCAGCCCCACCAAGAGAAGAGCATACTCAGCCCAGCTGAACAAAGATGCTGAGAAGAACTGAGGGCAGTAGTTTAAAACACAACAGTACTCAGAACAGCAGTATTCTATATTGCCCCCAAGTTATGCTTTTTGGTTTTTTTAAAGTGGACATAGGAAGAAGATATGTAACCAAGGTTATTCCAGTACCAATTCCACGTCTGTATTTAGACACCTCAGATGCCACCTCTTAATACAACTTCATAAAACCTGAGGTGACAAGGTTTCAGTCCTTTAACTCCTTCTGGCAAAGAGAGCAAACTAGAGCAAAGCCATTGCAACAAACACACAGACTGGAAATTTCTATGCAGTTGGGATTTAGAATAGGATATTATGGATCTGTTTGGCTATAGAAGAGTTGCCAGCTAAAAATGCAATATAAACACTAGTGATGCTCCTCAGGGCTACTAGTTCTGTTCAATATTTTGATCGGTGATCTGGATGCTGGAGTTGAATACACCATTACAAAGTTTGCTGATGATCCCAAACTTGGGACCCAAACATTACTTTCACTGCTGCCTGCTGAATCCAGACAAGTATTTTTAAAATGTGTCAAATTTAATGTCATACCAATTTTTCTTTTTCTAAATAAAAGATGCCACACTTTAAAGCAGACCACTGAGGTTTATTCAAACAGTAGTCTACGCATCTCAGCAGTCAGGAAATAAAGATTTGCAAAACAAAACTCAAAACCAATTAAACATCAGTTTCATATCAAGTTCATTCAGACTTTTCTTAATTCAGGGTTAAAGACTGATCTTAATTGTACATTAAGCAAACATATTTTTACTTTGTATTAGCAAACTGTAAGTAACCATAGAACCTATGTCAACTCCAATATGTTTCACTTGTTCATACGTGCATAAAACACGGTCAATGCTGGCATCTTTTAAATGCTTTTTGTTATAAATATTTAATTAGACCACTGACTGCAGTAAACAAACTCAATAGGATCTTCATTTGCTTCTAACTAGTAATCATTATGCAGTTAGGACTTCTTTTTGTTGCTTTAAACTGTGTTATCCCTTACTAAAACCCAGATTATATACAAAGCAGAAAATCTGAACAAGCCTTTATCCCAGATCTCAGATTTAATGACAAAATTTCCTCTCAACTACCTAAGAAACCACAGAACAAGAGGGAAAAAAAAAGGCAAGTTGATTTTCTTCCCCCTCATGTAAGCAGGAGGCACATGTAGACCATCCTAAAAGATCAATAACTTACAGCTCCCACAATTATCAACTGTCAATCATCAGGAAGGGAGGAGGTTAAAATTGTGTTATTTGCAATGCTAAAAAAATCTTTTAAAATTACTTCCAGAAATTAAATCTCAAACATTCCAACAGTCTGTTCACTCAAGCTAATAAAACTCAACTGGCATCACATCTCACAAATATTACATTAATGAATGATGAATCTAGGTTATTTTACCCTTTAATATGTTTCTGTCATTTTAAGTAAGCATAAAGAT